GAAAAAATTTTAAAATTTAACAAAAACACCCCCACCTACCCACCACTGCTAGAATCTGGCCGGAAAAGGGCGTTACGATGTAGACCTATCAGATTTGGCCAGTAGGGCGTTGATATAGCATTTTCCGACCACATCGACCGCGGATCTAGCCAAAAAAATGCCAGATCTACCGACAGATCTGGCCGTCGACGGCCAAAAAAGTCCAGATCTGGCCGTCAGCGACTACCAAATATATGGCCGTTGTTGTCGGTCAACGATGGCCAAGATTTGGTCGTCCATGACGGCCAGATATGGCCTTTTCCAACTAGATCCACTGTAGATCTGGCCGAAAAAGGCCACATCGGTGAATTACAAGCCAGTTTCGGTCGTTTGTAGGCTGTTGTGACAGATTCCAGCTACCACCGATGGTGGTTGTCAGAATCTGGCAAGTATGGGTAGGTGGGGGTGTTTCTGTTAATTTTTAATTTTTTTCTGGGGGTATTTAATGAAATTAATAAACTTAAGGGGTCTTAATTAATTAAAAAAATATACTAATATTTCCTAAATAATTAAACAAACAAATATTTTGGGAATATGGATAGGAATATTCAACCAAATGCACCCTTTATGTTCTGAAGAAAGCAGAAGAAAATATGTTCACTAAGCTTGTATAGAGGAAATTCGTTTAATCGCTTAAGCGATTTAATATCTCGCTTAACACTAAAATATAATAATAATAATAATTTGAACTCCGTAACCATATGCTCTGTAGTCTGTAGACCATGAGAGTGCCAGAATTTTTCAGAAACTTTTTTACTATTAACAGTGGCTCCTGTTATCACAATAAGGTTTCTAACATAACTGTTGTAACCTTCTTAAGCAATCGCCTGTTAAATAGACGAGATCGCTTAACTGATTAAGGGTAATTTACTACCATATTTCTTTTCCAAGTTTATGGACATATGTTCAATATAGACGTAAACATTCTACACCATATATGTTTGATATAAACGTACAAGAACTATATGTTTAATTAAAATATAATAACGGTCAAGTTCCACTGAACGAATCGTACACCCTATATGTTCAGAGTTCGAGCAAGAAAATGGCTTCAGAGTTGAGATACGGATAAAGAAGAAGACGGTTAAATTTTCACTCAGTCGATTAAGCGATCGTAGATCGCTTAAGCGATCATGTGATGGGCAGAATCAATATCTGCCCAGGTGCATGATTGCTTAAGCGAGTCTTCTCTTTTCCCCATCGTCGATTAAGCGATCTAAGCGATCATGCACCTGGGCAGATATCATGTGATGGGCAGAATCAATATCTGCCCAGGTGCATGATTGCTTAAGCGATCCATTATATCGCTTAAGCGATTCTTCTCTTTTTCACTTGGTCGATTAAGCGATCGTAAGTGATCATGTGATGGGCAGAATCAATCTGCCCAGGTGCATGATCGCTTAAGTGATCTGTGATATTGCTTAAGCGATTCTTCTCTTTTTCACTTGGTTAATTAAGCGATCATGTGATGGGTAGAATTAATATCTGCCTAAGTGCACGATCGCCTAAGCGATCCGTGATATCTTAGGCAATACATACTTTTCCATATTTTCTCTTGATTTTTGACAAACTAAAATTACCAACACATATTAATTCCATATTTTCTCCTCAATTTGACAACCTAATTCCAAACTAAAATCACCAACCAACACATATTTAGGCAGTGTAAGAAGAATACTAAATATAAAGAATTATTTATTCAAGGTAACAATAAAATTGAAAACATCAATAATTGAAAACAATAACTCATCAACGGTTGGCCTTGGCAACTCCCTGAATTTCATCCTTCTTCGAACCTAATTTTCAGGATCTGCATGTGATTACTTCTAGCAACTACTTCTCTTGTGGCCAGGTTGCTTGCAAATTGAGCACTTATTCATCTTTCGAGGAACCTCAGAGGCTGATGGAATACGCTTAACTCTTTTTCTCCCCTTTGATGTCTTCTTGAATGGCGGATGGATGATAATGTCAGCTAACTCTGGCGACACTACCCACTGCTCTTCTAGAGGTACTGGATATATCGTTTCTGAATAAGCTAGCATGTAGTAATTTGCTATATACAAAGGGGAGCAAAGTTCTATGTAAATTCTTGAACCAAAATCCGGCTTCCTTTGGTGTTTTAGTGCTGCTAGTGCATGAGGAAAAGGTAAACATTGAATGTCAAGCACTTTACAGCTGCAAGTTTTACTAACAAGGTTAACTATAGCATCCGGATCGTAGCCACGCATAGTGAACTCTTGAGAATTAAGAGGATAGGCAAACAGTGCATTTGACAGTTCCATACGTTCTCGCAATAATTTTTCAGCTGACGGAACAAAGGTTGTAGTAAAATTATCTGAGTCTGTACGACGCTCATGGAACCACTGTGACAATGTCCTCTAGATTGCATCAAAAAGTGCAACTATTGGAAACTCTCTTTCTATTAGCAACTTCGAATTTATGGACTCGGTTATGTTCGTAGTCATGGCATCAAACCTTCTTCCAGGAAAGTAAGCTCTACTCCATCACTCGAAACCAACATCATGCTCAAAATACTTAGCAACTCTATCATCCTTGATTCGGATTTGCTGGAAGTGCTCATCGAACTCATCAACCCTATAAGTTTTTGCTGCCATGTAGTATGTCTGAAGGAGGCCAGCACACTGAAACTTTTGTTTTATGTTCTCACCAAGGTGCCTCATACAAAATCCGTGATGTGCTTGAGGGTAAATAGTGGCAATCCCCTTCTTTATAGAGTTGTGCCTATAAGATATTATGCATAACTCGTCACTATCAGGCACTATCATACGTAATTGCTGAAAAAACCAAGTCCACGACTTGTCATTCTCAAAGTCAACCACACACCATGCAAGAGGATATGTGTGATTCTCGCTGTCCTGTGCAGTGGCCACCAACAATGTACCTCCATACTTTCCTGTCAAAAAGCAACCATCAATAGCCAACACCTTTCTCATGTTTACAAAACCTTTTATAGCAGAACCGTAAGCAACAAAAAAATATTTAAACATCATATTCATGTCCCACTTCAAAGCTGTCTTGCTACCTTTGTTTGTCAACTCAAGCATATAACGGTACGCTTCTAATATTGCGTACTCGTGTTCTGTCGTGGCCTTCATAAAATCTTGTGCACGTTGTCTCCCTTTCCAGCATTTCCAGTAACTAACAACACATCCCAACTTTGTGCGCACAAGTCTCTGAATCTCTTTAGGAGATGGATTTTTCCCTTCAACGAACTGACTTTTGACAAATTGTCCAATAACATCAGCGGAGGCTTGTTGATGCTCACCTGAAATATGTCCCAAACCACATGTGTGCTCACGGGTATATGTGCCAAGAATAAATTTTTTGGACTCCGCGAACCTTTTATAATAAACCCGCCACTTGCACTTTCAGTCACGACATGCAACCGTCACAACCAATGAATTTGACTTTTTGGTGATGAACTCAAAATTACCTCTCACCGTAACAAGTTTTAGCTTCCTCACTACTTCCTCTTTGTTGTCAAATAAATATCCTATGCAAAACTTTGATCCATCAGTAAAAACATGAGCTGATTCACTACTACCTACAACTGCCCCCTCTGAACCTGCATAAACGACCATAATATTCTCTTCCTCACAAACTACACCTTCTGCATAATTTTTATTTAAAGGAATCTCTACATCTGCGGGAACATGTACGGGGCCCTCTTCCTCAACATTTTCATTCTACCGCCCATGACCAACCTCTTCTACAATGTCTTCCTCACCACCTAATTCACCGTCTACTCTTGATTTTTCAACTAACAAATCAATGCCCTCATAGTTCAAATTAAAACCAGGCAAATCTCCGCCAACTTCCTCGTTATCCCCTTTCTTTGAACTAACTTCCAACGGTTTTCCTACAGAAGAAACCCTTAAGATCGGCCTCGAACCATTATCGGCCACATCAATCATATATAACTTCACACTTTCATCTGACTTTAATATAGAAGAGGTGATTTGAGTTGCTCACGTAGTGATATAGTTGTGTAATGTAGCAGATAGATCGCTTAAGTGATCAGGTATGTGGCATAAGATCGCTTAAGCGATCTACTAAAAGTCTAGTGTATAGCAGTAGATCGCTTAAGCGATCAGTAAATGACATAATATTGCTTAAGCGATCATGCCTATTTACACTGGATCGCTTAAGCGATCATCATATCCAGAACACGTTTTCAGTCATCTCCACCTACAATCGGTGCTACCACGCACAGCTACTCACAATGCAAGAAAATTTTCAACAAATTCCACTCCTTTCAACTTCCATTACATCAAACACAACCCAACAACTTAAACAACTAAATCAAAATCATAACCCAAACCCAATCCATCATTAAATCTTTGTAAATCGAAAGGAGAGATACACATACCTGGATCGCTTTTTCAGCAACAGGAAGAGGAGGAGGAGGAGGAGGAGGAGGATCTGTGTTAGAGAAGATGTTAATGACGGAGGAATGTGTTAATGTGGCGGGAGGAAGAAGAAGAAGGTGTTTGGGTTTGTTTGCAAGATTTTCGACTCTTTGGAGACTTATTATAATTTTTAAAAAATTACCCAATTATTCATTAAACCTAATTAATCCCCTAATCATGTTAATTAGCTTAATAAAAAACAAGCCGTTTAGTTAAAATTTACAAACTCTACAACCTTTTAATTAATTTTTAGTTTAAATGGGCTTTTATAAAATGCCCCCGGAGATATGTAGCTCAGAGGAGGAACAAAAAGAGGCATGATTTCCTTTGTCTGTGCTATACTTTTTCAGTTCTCGTTGAACGTTAAGCAACATTTAGATCTTTGCGCAAAAGGGAAGTGTCACCAATCCTCTTCATCAAGCCAGGTTCAGTGTAAAAACCTGACTTCGAGTCTTCAACTAAAAGGGAAAGGTGGATCAATGTGAAAACCTGACTTTAACTTTTAGAATCTGGACGAAAGACTGATAATTTTACCAACCCTTCTGTAATTTATGGCTTGTGGTGTGTTGTGGCCCGTACAAACAAGAAGAAGAGTTCATTGCGTGGCTGTGGTAAGTTGTTCCCGAGGGATATACCTTAGGTTCCACGACTTTAGAGATGGGCTTTTTTGGTGATTATTGGTAAGTAATATTTTACCAAAATTTAAATGTACATCTGATTCAGAGATTCGAAATGCATATACTTCTATTCAAAAAACTTTGCCTGAAATTATTCTGCAATGGCCATGTTAGGGCATTTTATTAGCCCTGCATATCGTGTAACTTTTATCTAATTGATTTGTTGATGTAGCTATTTTTCTGCGTCTGGATCTGGCCATGGTATCAATTTGAAATTATTTGAAAATAGAGATAATCTTGTCTATCAAATCAGCAAGTATTCCACCAACACTCATGTCTGTTTCTTTATCCCATGGGAATGGCTCCATTTTCTTGGTTGCTTCCAGAAGTTCTTCAATAGTAAACGTTGGCTTCGACCGTTCAAGTGGAACTATTTCATGATTATACTTTTGTGGGTCTGGACAGTAATCCTGAGAAAGGGAAACAAATGTTAAGATAAAACTGCAAGACTTATAATTGCTCGAAAATAAATATATATAAACGGTTGGTTGCTTACTTGATCAGCATGCATTTTCTTCACAAATGTCTTAAATATATTGAAATTTTTTTCTTCTAATACTTCATCTGATAAACGAAGGTATGTCACCCCAAACATCCTAAGTTTTGGTGGGCCTTCTCTGTTGACGCCATTAGGCCTAGCATTTAAAAGGATTTGATTATAAGCAGAACGATCATATCTCGATAGTGCATTCTCACCTGCAACTTCAATATTCTCTCTCCAACCTCCACTTAAAACCTGCAGATGGATATGCAATGCGTCAAATAATCACCATCTTAATTTTTAGGCATGTGAATGTAGTGTTGTCTATTGGAATGATAATTAGTTTGTGTTTGTGTAAAAATTATTTAACATTGGAAGTATTATTTTACAAACATATTTCTTTGAACTCTGCATAACAAATATAGGTGGGATTCAGTAGTTGGTCCTGTGTTTTTAGGGGAGAGATCCCTTTTTCCTATCAAGTAACAACAATAAGGTATATCTAGAGAAGTAAAAAAATATTAATCACCAGTATGTTGCACCACAAAGGATTACCATAAGCATTTAACTACGTAAGTTTTCACCTGCTGAACAAGTTCCTGAGGTCCACTCTTAGCAGAAGCTGGTTGTTCTGAGTCTCTCATTTCAAGACAAGTGAAATTCAAAATGGCATAATGTCTTGAGAGCATCCTTGAAATAGGTCGGTATCCATCTCTATCTTTCAAGTTGTAATATCCTGCAGTAAGCTCTGCTGCATGGCTATCAGCTTTATACCACCAGTGGATTCCAGACACCTGTTTTAATTTGTCAGCGAAATGTAAACTGTTTGATATAATTAAACTAATGCAGGTAAGTTAATCATATAGCTATGAGATTGTGATGTATACTTTAGCTGCCAGCTTGACTTTAAAGCCTAAGAAAATTTTGTTGGCTTCATCAAGGATGTCATCACCATGGCTCAGTAAATTGTTGGAATACCAAGTCAGGAAGAACTTCCCTTCTTCAGCAAGGTATGTCCCATTTGATCCAAAGAACTCTGTTGATTCTGGTGTGCTATTGTATTGTCCTGCATTATCCGGTAATTCCCATTCTGGGTGGCCTGCTTTTGTTGCCGCCTCTTTGAAATCTGCTTTCAGATATTTGTCATAGCACTGCAGTCCGTCAAAGAACAAAATTAACCTAAGCTTTCAACAAGATATTACAATTCACATCATCACTAAGATAGCAAAACCCAAAGATTACCTGAAATTCACCTATCCCAGGAAAAACCCATCCTTGATTTTGGGGATAAGAGGGGTATCTGAGCTCCCCTGCAGGTCCAAGTCCTATTTCAATGTCTATTATTAGCCCTGCTTCAAGAAAATCAGACATTTTCTCCCTGAAGCTCTTCATGTAGCCACTATAAATCTATATAAATCAACAATCAGTTTCAGCTATAAAGTGGAAGATAAACTCATCATGAAACCCTACTTTAAGACCACTTCTTACCTCAATAGCAGTTCGTCCATCAAAGAGAGGCCGGTTATCCACACCAATGGTTAGATACTCCTTGTTTCTGTTACCGGTTCGATTAGTGTAAAAGATATCAGGGTTTGTTTTCCCAATGTCAAGTACCCACTGGGGAAGGGGAATGTTAACAATATCTCCTACATTTCCACCACATTGGTGGAATGACATTATAACTTGTAACTTCAATTCACATTGCTGTACGAGTTCAAACAAGCTCCTGTAAGCACTCCAATCATACTGCTTAGGGCCCTTGGATTCTACTATCCCCCACCAAACATCTAACATTACCCCATCCACACCAGCAGCTTTTAGCTTCTTAAGCTGATTCTCAAGCCCATCTTTGTCTTCTAAAACATTAACAATTGTAATAACTCCCAACTAACATTTGAAATAGAAAAGAAAAAGCAGATTAGTATGTGATCAACCGATCATTGTCAGTTATCAAAAATCATAATGAAATGCAAATAGAGAAGCTTTGTTGTGACTTACTGGGAGCATAACATAAATCGGCACATAATTGGCCAACAGCTTTTCATCAGAATTGGGAGCGCTTGATGAAGACTGCATTTCAAGTAATTAAGAAGATTTTAGAGTTTCTATGAGAATTGAGAGTGGAAAAGGAGATGCTACAACTATACTATTTCAATCTTCATTTTTTTATTGACGAATAAAGCATTACTGGACAGGTGTCTTATCTTTGCATTAAAAAGAGTGCATATCTTAATGCGAATTCTAGGATTCCTGTCCTTTGTTGACTAAAAACCAAATAGTTGTCTTCTGAAGCACATCTTTTCTACCTACTACTGACAATGCCATTCATGCCCTTGATAAAAATGGGAATGAACCATCATATTCAATTATTCACATGTCCATCAGTTTAATGACCTTATTAGTCATATTAGTTTCTTAAATAACAAGAATATTCAATCAGCTAGAGCCTAGAGGCAATACTTTCAAGCACGTGCGGGGCTAATAAATCTCTTGTGAACATCTTATAACACTTACCTCCAATTCAGCTGTGGACACCTCAGAAGCTACAGCTTGAGGTTTTTTCACCTTGTAGCTAGAATTAATGAAAAAGCTTTTTACTTGCTTTGCTCTTTTTACACTCTCAACTCTGTCTATGTACTGCATTTCAAAGAAAAAAAGCCTTTGATAAAGCCTAGAGTCAGCTCCCCAACCTCCTAGCAATGAACTTGAACATACACTGGTTGCCATCGTGACCATGGCTTCGCTGCTTATGGTTCTAATGTGTATTTTAGTAATGGGAAGCTTAATTTACTACAGTTATGAACAATCTCATGCAAGAAAAAATCTAGTTTGTTGATTGGTTACAATATTTCTAGTGGATTCCATTGTATGTGACAATGGTGTAAGCTTTTATATAGAGCTTCAATGGAGTCCTCTAGTTAGTGGAGAGAAATTAGAACGTGTATGTTTTGTCCTGAATGATGAACAAAGATGTGTGGTTTGAGCTGCTTCTCATACGCATCCAAATTGAATAATAATCGTCAATTTTCTCTGGCCATGTTTTTTTTTTTTTTTTGTCTGAGGTCATTTTCTCTCTTTTGTAACCTTCTGTTAGCCATTTAATATCTAACACTATAGCTATCGCTTTCTCCTTGTGTTCCAGAATTGAATTGAGAAAAGTAACAATTAGACCATCAGAGCAACAAAACCAAGTTTAACGATTCTATCTGGAAATGTAATTCAGACCCATGAGAATTAGGACACTCGTAAAAAAGCCCAGCATCATTCCACATTCAGTTGGTGTGCAAAGCTGTGTGAGGCCCAAATACAAGCTACAACGAGTTCCAAGGAGGGCTCATTCAAGGATTTTTCCTACAATGCATCTAGCTATCTACTGACATTACAGCTTGTGATGCTTCTACTTTGAAAGAAACGTTTATGAATCGTTTTATACTGGAACCAATCACAATCACTACTGCTTGCTCATCTTCTTTCCCACAGAGACTGAAGGGCACATTTGTTAGTGTTTATAAAAGAAGCTTTAACTAATCATAATTTTCAACTTTTATAAAAGATTAAGTAATAAACATTCCCTGTAATTCCACTTCTCTTCTTATAGATGTAAAAATAAAAAAGTAGGATGTCATTTGTGTGAACAAAAGAATTCTCTAAGGTTAAATTGTATTAATTTTTATCCGAAGGGATGACAATGGCAGACAAGTCTGCTGGGCTCGATTCCCGAAGTCACTTATTAGGCATAATCCCGTTTAATCTCATCTAATTACGACATAACTTTCTCGTAATTCTGCGGAAATCCGGGGGCATTACTCTACCGGACTGCAAAAGCAAAACACTGGTAGTTGAAGATTGGAAGTAACAAAAACCTAGATTGGTAAAAAGTAAAATGTTATTGAGGTACTAGACTTTTCTTTCTCACTTTAATTGGTGTTCACGTGCCAGACATTACCTTTCCCATTCTAACCTTCACCTTAAATAAACAGAACAAACCAACGCCAACCCTCACTTGTCCTTCATCTTCCTTCCTTTCAAAATCACCATGAAAAAAAGACGAAAAAGAACCACATTTCCTTCCTAAACCAGTCAAGTTAAGACCAGACCAAACCAAACCAAAACAAAACAAAATAAACGGCAGAAACTCACATTTCAGATTTAGAGGTTTCTGGTACAAAACCCAGGAAGATAAAAATGTGTTATGTGGGGAAAGCAACAAAGATCTTCATTTTCATTGTTACAGTGTTGGTGGTTCTGGGTCTTGTCTTGGGATTCGGACTCTTGCGCCATAGCATCGAAAAATCTCATAAATGCTCCGGTGATTCTTGCCATTCTCCACCCATTCTCTTCCCCAACCCCAACCCTAGCTCCAACCTACCTAGTCCTGCAGGCTCCTCCCAGCCGAGCCCACCTAGCCCTGACCTCGGCTCATCTCCACCTAGTCCTCCAAACCCAAATCCTAGTCCTGACACCAGTTCAATTCCACCACCTAGCCCACCTATACCAACTCCCCCTATCCAAGCAACTCCGCCTACACCTATCACTACTAACCCAACTCCTCCGCCTCCGACACTGCCACCACCGCCTCCGACACTGCCACCACCGCCTCCGACACTGCCACCACCGCCACTGCCTTCGGATATCACAACTGGTGCTCCGCCGCCGGGAAGTTCTGCAAATTTTGTGGTGGTAAGTCCAGGACTTGTGCATGCTTAGCAGTTGGTTAATGAATTATTTGAGATTGAGGTTCAATATTGTTGATTCTTTTCATCATTGTTTTCTTTCGATTTCTTTTTTTTTTTTTTATTTGGATAAATTTTTAGATGGGCCTGTATAGACATGGAGTTTAGTCTGTTACTATTCTCGAGATTTATCAGAATTACAGAGTTATCCATGAAGAGTAATGAAATTTACGGAAGTCTTGAATGCCAATGTGGGTACTTTTACAATGACAATGTTGTCAACTCTGTCACTTCAATTGACTCTAATCTCTGCGGATAACAATTGCACGTCCTAAGGGCATCTTCATTGTGTAATATCAATGTCGTGGATGAATAATATCACTCTAAATTTAGCTTAATATTATTCATTCACGTCAATTTAGGTGATACTATTTATCTATCATAAGACATATTTTATTTTTTTATTTTTGTTATTTAATAATATTTAATTTATATTTATGTTAATTAGATTATTATTTATATTATATTTATAATTATTATATAATTCAAAAATAAATTACTATTAATATATAATTTTTTTTGTGTGTTTTTTTAGCATTTTATATTAGATATAATATTTTTTAATATTAAATATAATATTTATTTGATTTAATAAATGTTTAATTTTATTAAATTAGTATAATTTTTAAAGTTATTATTAATTAATAAAAATATTTAATTAATATATATATAAATAATTAATGAAATAAATTAATTGTTGAAAATAAATAGAAAGAAAAAAATATTTTAAAGAATTTTTTTTTTTTTTTTTATGTAGTATTTGGTATAATGGGTTAAAAATACAATAATAAAATGATATGAAAATTATACCAATTTAGTATACTAAATTTTATATCAATTTAGTATACTAATTTGGTGTTTGTGGCACAAGATGGTCTAAAACATGAAACCGCTCATCAATATGTGAATTTATTGGCAATTTCTTGCTCCTCAGTAGACTTGAGGAGCCATTGTTGAGTAAAGGGCATGTGATCTAGGTTGGGGGTGTTCAAAAAAATGCAAAAACTGAACAAAACCGAAAAATTGGTTAATCGAAAAAACAGTTCGAAAAATTCAAAAAACCGAATTTTTGGTTCGGGAAAAAATAAAAAACAGTTAACCGAAACCGATTTTTTGAACCAATTTTATAAAAATATATATTATATTAAATAAAAATAATATATTATATTATATATTAAATAAAAAATAATAATATTTTTAATGTATTGTTAGTAGTGATCAATGGATATATATGAATGTTTAATTTTTATTTGGATATGTATTATTTATATTTACAATTTAATTTAGAAAAAAATAAAAAAAATAAAAGTTTTATAAAAAAAAAGGAAAACTAGTTCAAAACCGATTAACTGCTTTTTTTAAACCGGTTTTTTCTCTAAACCGGTTCGGTTTTGGTTCAGAAATTTTTCCAAACCGAAAAATTAGTTCGATTCGAAAAAGTGGTTAACCAGTTCAGTTAACCGCTTTTGAATACCCCTAATCTATGCGGCAATCGATGCAATCACCAATGTCAAAAGGTTCATAATTAGTAAGTTAAATGAGTACCGAACTCAAATGGGTTGGGTAACTTATCCTTCCACAGGAAAAAAAAAAAAAAAAAGAAATTAGTGAAGAATGTTGTGGGTAACAATGTTGGTTAATCTCCAAGAGGTGAAGAATCCGATAAGTTTTGTCTGCTTTGGAAAAGAAAAGAACATAAAAAACCACAATTGCCTGGTGTCACGGAAGGGAATCGTGGTTTTTCATAATCTCGTGCTTAAGTTTCTCCTGGACCTTGTGGGTACCATTACCAACCCACTGTGGAATCTGCTAGGCTGGACTGTCACTGTGTCAGTTTTTATTAACTTTTACATAATATTATTAATTTACTATTAACCATTGCTAAACTGCCAGCTAACGACAAGACCTGACAGAATTAAGATAATTTGGATCCAAATTAACATTAGTGTAACGAGGTCCTCTTTTTTTTTTATTTGATATCTTGTGTATGCAGTCGCAAGGAAGATATGGAAAATGAATAACTAATTGATATGAATCAACCTTAGGTGAAACCATACATGATTGATGATACATACGTAGGAAATTGTACGAGCCTCCGCAAATAGCTCTGATTACACGTACTGTGTACAGACAATCACAGCACATCAGGTACACCGGGTGGTCCACGGCCATCATTGGGTTCCGTGATTGGATTTGAAGGCTTTGATCAAACTTAAAAATTCTAACAACTCATTCATCGAAGTTAGAGTCCAAATGTCCAATACACCAACAATGTTACTTCAGCATACACCGTCAGCACTGTTCTATGTTTGATTTTTTATGACCCATCTTCAATTGGTTCATGATGTCTTGTCCAGAAATGTAAATTTACTGATTTCCTGGATGTTTCTATTATTATGAGACTGATCTTCAAAATGGTAAGAAGGGGCGTTTGCTTAGGGTGTATGACATTAATAGGGATAAGTGATGTTATATTACTTGATTACCATGTTTGGTTGTCAAGTAATATAATATACTAATAATCTTTAAATACTAATAGTGATTATTATTGGTAGTATTGGAGGTAATCTGATTACTTCCATTTTCTTAGGTATTCTAAGATTACTAGAATTATCTTTTTTTGTTACAATTTTATTTCTTATTAATAAAAATTTTGGACAATAATGCCCCTATTTTAACAGAAATTCATATTAATATTTTATTTCAATTTTACCTTTATTTAATTAAAATTTTGGACAATAATACCTTTATATTTAAAATAATTTACAGACCACCACTACCACCCAGCCACCATCGCTGACAACGGGCCAACCACCATGGACCACCGTCGGAAAGTCGTCAAAGTCCCTAAAAAAGAACTAGATTTGGTGGGAGGCTCTGGAAGGCTTCGGTGTGGCCGTTTCTGGCCATATCAAGCTAGATCGATGGAACTGGCCGTTAACGGCCAGATTCTTGGCCATTGACCTCAAGAATAGATCTGCCCGTTAACGGCTAGGTCCATGGCCATTGACAGTCAGATCTCGTCCAGATCTGGCCGATAATGGTCAGGATTTGGCCGTTAACGGCCAGAATAGATCTGACCATTTCTGGCCAAATATGACCTGATATGGCCGTTTCAGCCATCAATATGGTAAAAAACGGTCATATCGAAACCTCTTGGTCACGGTGAGCTACTCACGGGGACTTTCGGAGACTTCCAACGGTGGTTCGCGGTGGCGATAGGCGGCAGCAGAAGGTGGAGGTGATTTCGTCATAAATTAAAGTTTTATATAAGCGGAGTGTTTTAGCTAAATCTGAAATATTGGGGGTTAAAAAAAATTATTCAAAAATTAATAATAAAAATAATATTATATTAATATTTAAAAAAGGGACAATTTAGTCATTTAAATAACATACCCACCAATTTATTCTCTATAATCAAACATATTAATATAACATACCCATCAACAAACCAAACACATTTTCCTAAAGATTCTCAGTAATTTTTTAAAGTAATCTATCTTTCTAGTAATCCAACATTCATAATAATCTAATATTCCTGAACCAAACACCCCTAAAGGGGGTGTTTAGTTCAGGAATGTTGGATTACTAGAAAGATAGATTACCTTGAAAGATTACTGGGAATCTTTAAGAAAATGTGTTTGGTTAGTTGGTGGGTATGTTATATTAATATGGTTGGTTATGGGGAATAAATTGGTGGGTATGTTATTTAAATTACTAAATTGTCCCCTTTACAAATATTAATATAATATTATTTTTATTATTAATTTTTGAATAATTTCTTTTAACCCCCAATATTTCAAATTTAGTTAAAACACCCCTGCTTATATAAAACTTTAATTTATTACGAAATCACCCCCACCTCCTGCCGCCACCGCAAACCACCGCCGGAAGTCTCCGAAAGTCCCCATCAGCAACTCAACGTGACTAAGAGGCTTCAATGTGGCCGTTTCCGACCATATTGATGGCCCAAAACGGCCATATCGATGACTCCTGGAGCCTCTCACTCAAACTCTGTTCTTTTTTAAGGACTCCGGCGAGTTTTCCGAGGTGGTCCGTGGTGGTTGGCCGCTGTAGGCGGTGGTGGATAGGTGCCGTGGTGGCAGTGGTGGTGGTGGCTGAGTGACAGTGGTCTGTAAATTGTTTAAATACAAGGACATTATTGTCCAAAATTTTAGTTAAACAAAGGTAAAATTGAAATAGGATATTAATGTAAATTTATTTTAAAATGAGGGCATTATTGTCCAAAATTTTCATTAATAAGGGATAAAATTGTAACAAAAAAGGATAACCCTGATAATCTTAGAATACCTAAGAAAATAGAGGTAATGAGATTACCTCCAATATTACCAATAGTAACTACTATTGGTATTTGAAAATTACTGAAATCTCATATTACTTGATAACCAAACATGATAATCAAGTAATACCAAATGATATTACCCCAATAATCTGACATTATTGCCGACCAAACGCCACCGAAGGTGTACTTAGTATTCACGCCAATTTAGACATTGATTTCTTCACTAAAGACAACTTATCATAGAGTAAGTATGACCGTTGGGTGGAGTTTGTTAAGGAAATTCCGAAATTAAATAATAATAACGACAAATTCTTCTGCCCTTTAATCACTGCAATGGAAATGATTGGTGATGAATAAGGTTGTCTTGTTCCGTCCATAATATTAATAGGAGATCATAATTTAAAAAAGAGCAAAGGACATGTTCCCACCCAAGGTAAAGCGAAATGCCAAAGTTCCCACCTCTAGTATCATAAATCTCATATTTTCACCTTTAAACTGACGAAAAATTGATTAATATAACGGTAAAATAGTAGAATAGTCATTTCCAATTTTAGATTCAAACTGAAAATAAGTTGTCACCAGAACCACTCATATAGCCATCACCACCGCCACAAATTACATAGACTTCCAACCACAATAAGTCGATCATCATACAAAACAGGGAGAAAGGAAAAAATGGGGAGGAAAGAAAAGCATTAAGCATCAATCACGATGGCTTGTAAAATAAAGAGATAGCATGTCTTTTTTCTTTTCCTTCAACCTCCTTGCTATCTCCCTCTAATGATTGATGAAAACAAATTTTTTTTGGGTGGTTTCTCTTCATCGTTTGTCTCTCCTGCACTGCCTATTCAAATTATTTCTTAATTTCACCATGCCAGATGAACAACTTCGGAGATGTTTATCATATGCATCGTTCAAAATCTAATCTCATTGTGCTATTATCGGCTACCAACTTAGCGGCCACTTCTCCAATTTCAACTTGGATTTCTCACTTGATCTAGCAAATATTGATCCAAACTTCCAATTTGGCAACCCACGCTTCCCTTTTTAGCACTAATTCAAAAGCCCT